TGGGAAGCTTGCAGTGGTTGACATGCATGAGACCAAATATTCTATATGTAGTTGGGCTTATAGTTGTTACATGGAAACGCCAATAGTCACTTACATTAAGACAACTAAGAGGATCCTACGTTACATCAAAGGAATACTAGACTTTGGCCTATTTTACTCCTCTCTAACAATTAACTTGTTGCATATAATGATAGTGACTAGGCTGGAGACAAGGATGAAAAAAAAAAGCACTACAGGGTTTGTGTTTTTGATGGGAGATTCAACTTTCACTAGAACTCCTAAGAAACAACCGATTGTCACACTTTTAACATGTTAAGCTGAATATGTGGCTGCTACCTCGTATGTCTGTCATGCAGTTTGGCTATGAAGTTTGATGAAGGAGCTTAATATACCACAAGAAGAACCTACAAAGATTCATGTTGACAAAAAATCGGCACTTGCACAAGCGAAAAATCTTGTGTTCCATGATCGAAGTAAGCATATTCATACAAGGTATCATTTTCTCAAAGAACATGCGGCAAGCAAGGAGATGGTGTTAAAGTGAGTCAAGTCTCAATATCAAATTACCAACATCTTTACCAAGCCACTCAAGCATGAAGTATTCAAAAGGCTTAGAGCATAACTCCAAGTTATGTCCAAAACAAGTTTAAAGAGGGGTGTTGGATATTAAACTTAGTTTGGGCCCAAGACTATTTGGTTATCACCTAAACCCATATAGATTGTTAGCTTAATATTTCTTCCTAAGCCTAATGTAAGGCCCATATTTGGCCCATTTATTTAGTCCAAATAATAGGCTTTGTAACTACTGTATAAAGATTAAAGCTGGCAGTGGGTCGTGTCGTACCATGCCATGCCTAAAAATTCAAGGTTTGTAATGTCGTGGGTTGTGCCGTGCTAAGGCCCGTGGAAATTTGTGCCTTGTCGGCCCTCCAAATCTGAAGGCCCATGGCATAGCCTGCTATATAGCATGTCATGCCGTGGGCCTAGCACAATGCCTGACTTGAGTGTTTTGTGGGCCAACCCACAAACTTTTTTAATATTTATAAATTATGGTAATTCTTATTTATTATTAATAATTATTATAAAATATTTTATATGTTATATTTCGTGACATTTTGTATTTGTATTAATTAAAAAAAATATAATCACTATGAAATATAATAAAATAATGAGACATTAAAATATTAATTGAATTTCAACACTTTTTATTACTTATAAATTATAATCATAAATTACAAAGTAAATGATTGATCAAAGAAATATCATACATCTTCATTTTCATTAATTTCTTTGAATATTTGTAAACTAAAATCAAAGTTGCGATCATTGTATTGTATTTGTATGCTTGTATTTCTAATGGAGTTGTAATTGTTAATGTTAATTTTTAATTCTAATTTCTAAGTTTGTATTTATAACTTATAATTATAAGTAATAAAAAGTGTTGAAATTCAATTAATATTTCAATGTCTCATTATTTTATTATATTTCATAGTGATTATATATTTTTTTAATTAATACAAATACAAAATGAGAGAGAAAGGAAAATAAAAATTGGAATTGGAGTATGAAAAAATAAGAGAAATAATTGGGTATTTATAGGAAAAAAAAATTAATGTGAAATAGTCGATATTAACAGCTATTTTTTTTTTTTTAGCAAGTCGTGCCGACTAGCGTGCCTTTTTTAAGGCCCACGACAAGGCCCACGATCATGATCATGGGCCTTGTCGTACCGTACTTTTTTCATGCTATGCTTTTTTCGAGGTGGGTCGTGTCGACACATGGGCCAACACGGCCCACCGCCAGCTCTAATAAAGATATTATAAAAATATTTTATTTATTAAGAAGCTGTTAGATAACTATTAATTATGCAAGTTGATAAATGATATTTATTAAGATAGGTGATAGTTGAGAGTTAGAGTTTAGAAGGCTCCTTGGGCACTATAAAAGAGGGTGACCCCTAGCCATTTGTATAAGCCAAATTTGAGAAACAATAGTAATCCTCCCTTCCAAAACACTTCCCTTTTCAAATTCCTCCTAATTAGCCTTGAGCTAAAATCTCTTCTTCCAACAAAGTTATCATGGGCATTCTAAATTTTACTGTTATGCTCTCACTATATTTTAATTTAAGAATGTAACATTATTATTAAGTTCAATATCCTTTGTACGTATTAGATTAAAAAGTAACTTCCAACTTAACCAGAAGAATAAACAATCATCTTTACTTTGAATGAAATTCATCTAATTAGCAAGGAACGCATTATAAGTACAATGCAATTAATTATCATCACCTGTTCACTCTTTATTTTATTTTTTTTTAATTTATGGATTAAACATAAGAAAATCTTGCTCTCAGGACATTTTAATTTCTCAAAGAAATAATACATATCAATGATTAATTATTACAATAGCGCAATTGAATAACAATAGAAAGTATGACTCTAAATTACAATAACAAAGAAAGCAAAAGATAAAAATAAGAATTTGAATGAGAAAGTATATCTCGCAGACAAACTAATGAATGTGTGACAGTGTGAGACACGGCCGCTCATTCCTGTAAGCACACTCAAATACAACATTGACAGAATCTGTTAGAGTTTAATGGAGCTGTGGCATCCTAAGAACCAGTGGTTCACTTGGATGGAGGTGGAGAGACGAAAGGGATTTTTGGAATTGTGTTGGGAATGGTTGGAATAGAAGGGATGGTAGGAAGAGGAGTTGAAGGCAATGGAGGCAGAGTTAGTTTTGGGAGTGTTGGATTTGGCAAAGGAGGCAACGTTGGCTTTGGAAGAGTTGGTTGAGTTGGCAATGGAGTTGAAGGAAGTGGTTGAAGTGTAGCTTTAGGTAACGTTGGGATCGATGCAATGGAGGCAATGTGGCCTTTGGCAGCGGTGGAATCGTAGGCAAAATTGGAGGTGGTGCGGCTGGAGTGTCCAAAAGATGTCGAGCTGCGAGGCTCATATGAAAACCTGCCAACGATAATGCTACAAGCAAAAATAACAAGAAGGAATGCTTAATAATAAACGAAAAGGGTACAAAGATTTGATTGATTAATAATAAAATAAGTAATTGAACAGTGACATGTGAGTCATTTATATCTGTTTGTTCATGTGTTGACTTTGGGCATGAGGATTTTCAAATCATAAAATAAACTCTAATATTTATTTCTTCTTCATTTGTGTGAAAGAGCTAGATTGGAGGTGACATGTGAAATTCAACAACAGAGAACAAGGTTTTTAATTTGGAAACCATGCCAATTTGTATTTAGTAGCCAAAATTCCTAGTTTCTTTCGATATATAAAAAGGGATTAATGAGAAACATCTTGTAAATTTGTAATCGTCTAAGTGACCTGCATGCATAATTCCTTCAACAAAGAAATTAGTATCGTCTAGGTGAGAAGTTAAACTAACCACAGTGCCCCACCTACATCTTATCAAACTCCATGAGCCCTTCAACTTTTTTACTCTATAAATATAATCTATCAAAATCTGTTTTCTTCAGCTCAAAACACAAATAACAAACTTCTCCAGTCTTCATATTCACAATTCCTTCTAATTAATCATGGCTGCAGCTTTTAACCATTCCTTTATGTTAAGTTTGCTTTTTGCATTATCATTGTCAAGTTTTGATATGAGCCTCGCAGCTCGCCATCTTTCGGACACACCAGCGGCACCACCTCCGGTATTGCCCACAGTTCCACCACTGCCAAGGGCCACATTGCCTCCATTGCCATCGATCCCAACATTACCTAAAGCTACAGTTCCACCTCTTCCTTCAACTCCATTCCCAACTCAACCATCTCTTCCAAAACCAACATTGCCTCCCTTGCCAAATCCAACACTCCCAAAACTGACTCTACCTCCATTGCCTTCAACTCCTCTTCCTACCATTCCCACCACAATCCCTTCAATTCCATTCCTCTCTCCACCACCATCGAATTAAACCAGAAGATGCCACAGCTCTATTAGTCATTGGGTACTTTGTATCATTATACATATTATTCTCATTGAGTGTGCTTGTATTATTATTCATTATTATTACTATGTTTCTGAATGTTATGTTATCGTTTTTGTGTAGTAGTGGCTAGTATTTTGTTTATATGATGAATAAATATCAGCAGTATTTTGGCTACTTTGGTCATATTAGATCCTTCATGTCTCTTGATTTAGTCAAACCATAACTTAATTTAATGGTGTCACACAGGTAGTCACATAGCCACATAATTATAATACAAAGAGTGAAATATACCAATACTATCGACTAACTATGTGGTTAAAAATTAACCATATAAAATGCATTATTTTAAAACCCAACCTATTGTGAAACCTGACAAGGTGACCGGATTACTAGTCGACCGGTCCAACCGGGTGACATCAACAACAAAAATATTTTTAAAAATTAAAAATAGTCCCTTAAATTTTAGTATATTACAAAAATATCCCTACAAAATTAAATTAGTCCCTTAAATTTTAATTTGTTTCAAAATGCCCAAATAAATTACAAATTAGTCTCTAAATTTTTGAAATATTGCCAAAAAAAAAAATCCTACCTATAAGTTTACAATATAGTAAAACCCCCCCTAAAACCTAAACTAGACCAGAGAGGCTGTCAAGCCCCTGTCGAACCGATCAAATTAATCAGTCCAATCTGGGTTTTAAAACAAAGATAAAATGACAAGAAATACCAATAACTTTTCATCTTTCTTTCTCTAATCCCACCTGTACAAACGAAGGATTGTAATGAAATCCTATACAAAGAAACTGAATTATGGAACATGTGGAATATTTCGATCTTATGAATTGGAATATCTCAAACATATATCCACATCTATGGATCCTACAAGAACACTAAGCTTTTTCGCGGATAATGATTCAATGAACTTGATCTGGTCTCTTGCGCCACCTTCTGAGATTGTCACCTTGGAGAATCTGCCGAATTTAGTGCGGCAGTTATTGCCATGAATATTTCTAATCAATGTTGAAAAGGATCCTTGCAAATCAAGTGTAATCAATGAATAAGATATATTTCCATTACAATTAAATGTTTCAATGTTCTGCCACATCACTATTGACATTAATCTTATAAATAGAAGAAAAGCAAAATGGTTAATATGAGTTGGTGTTTGTCTGAAAGAATCGAAATTGGGTTTTTCTACTCCACACTATCAAAATTTGGTTTCTTAGTGCTTCAAGCGCTATCTTGTATCGTTAATGATTGAAAATTGAAAATCGCTTCATTTTCCGCATTACCAGCACCAAATATGCGTATATCCCAGTCGCAGCCACAATAGTGACCCCGGTGTAGATGCAGACAGTTGTAGCACAGACATATAGGTACCTAAAGGAAGAATGCAACCATTAGTTTTACAACAATTTAAATTCAATTGTAAATGTCATCCAAGAAATTATTTAAAACACATACCAAACACCTAAATGATCCTTCATGGATATTCTCTACCCTTCAAAAATTCTAATGGAGCAATTACTTAAGTTTCTTTACCCTTGAAAATGCGCAAATTAGCTTTATAAAAAAAAGGTTATAGTTTGCTTAGATCATTTAGCAGCACCTTTCACCATGGTACCAAAAGTAAATCCAACAAACGTTTTACAACACTACAATGATTCATGAATCAGTCAACAATGATTTGAGTTCAGTGAGACTTACTTTGGAGAAAAGACACTCCAAACAAACAAATGGTTCCTCATTAACAGCAAGACGATGGTATATGCGGTCAATAGAATCGAGTTTATGCCCAGTGGAACCAAACAAGGAAAACCAAGCATTGTCTTGAGAAGATGTCCAGAATCTACATTCTGGGGTACAACGAGATAGCTCTTCACAGACATGTACACTACCATGCTAAGAAGAGCTAACATGGGGGATGCATAGGTGATACTGAACATTAAAATACCAGAAAGAAGCGTTGAATGACTTGAGATTCCCTGAAAAGGTAAAGAACAATATTGAGCTACTTGAATAACAATACTGGTAGAGGGTGTCGGAGGGAAAACAGGAAAAAGGAAAATATATGCCCGGAAGAAGAGAAATATACAATAAAAGCCCCAGCAACATCAATCGTGGCTAGAGTGTTGCTGTTCCCTAGAGCAAAATGGCCAGCCATTCCCAAGAAGCACAAGGCAGAAACCTTAGAGAATGAAACAAGTTGCAGAGAATTAGTATTTGAAATACAATAGAGTAAATGAAATAAGTTGCTAATTTTGAAACATAAAATACATCCTAACTTATTCTCACCCAACACATATTCATTATAATACAGAACAAATTTTCCAAACTAATTTATGCATGTTTAGACATAACAAGATGTAGTTGCGCACCTCAACCCATTCCTTATGATGCAAACAACTGTATGAAAAATATAGCATGCTGGTCATGATTTGGACAAGAAGCAACAATAGAGGCATTGAATTTATTGGCTGTTGGAGCAACAACTGCAGAAGACACCAGCATAAGATGTAGGACCACCCAATAACATATAAAGAATCTCTTATTTCCATCAGTGGAGACTTCTCTATTATGTCCCTAGGAACCAAAGTTGATAAGTAGATATTATGACTTGAGCCCATGTCAGATAGGTGAATAGGAATAAGCCAGGGTATGACTACAACAGTACCAACAGTGGCACTTCCCAGAATGGCATAGATAATTTGTGCCAATAAGGTGGCACCATCACTAGATGGTACAAATGTGTTGTCCTGATACCTCATGACATATTGCAAAACCAACAATCCAGCAATACAGAAGTTAATTCCAACCACTTGAACAATTATTTTCTTTGATCCAAAAAAAGATAGAGCATATAAGCCTACACATATGGCCATAACACCTGAGACAAGCTGAACTGCTTTTACAAGATCATTACCGCCTTGTTCAAGCCACTTAGAAATGTCAGGAAGATAAGTCCAGTTCACACCACCTTGATGCCAGCCTCTCAATATTCTTCCAGAGATAAGAAGCACAAATACAGAAGACATTATGTTCTGTCCCCTGAACACCCTACTTCCTGCTGGGAGCAACTGTGCTGTTTTACGAAGCAACACCAGATACAATGTGGATGCCATAAAATGCCAAATATAATGCTCTTCTTCCACCATAGAACTTGATGTCATACTTACAACAAGGATGAAGATCACGCCCAAAACAAAGGTCTCATCCAAATGCCACCTTTGTGAATTACTGTCTAATTCAGAGTGGTGCTGCTTCTCTACTAGGCTAACTTCTCTACACATACGAAGTATAAGGCTTAAAAATATCAGACACGATAGCAGCATTGCTGCAACTCCAGAAGCAAGCAGGTTAACAGGTTTCTGCAGAATAATAGATATAGATTAACCAAAGGAAATAAAAAAAAAAAAAAAGATAATCTACTGGACAAAACAAAATGTCTTGCTGAAACCCTCAAAGAAGAAACAACTTGAATAGAGTTCATCTCTTCATACAGAGTCTTAGTCAACTCAGAAACTGATTAAAAAAAATTACATACATCAGTTGCTCTGCTTGATAACCACTCACTTGCAGTTTTCAGAAACTTGTGGTATGCTGCAAAAGTGCTGCTATAGACTTCCCATCTATCAGATCTATTTACATAAATTACAAAGATATGAGCAAAGAGTATCAGCAAAGTTTGTAAAGAGCTGCATTTTATGATTACTACAATAATTGATATCCTATATCAATCACTCACTCTGAAACTTGCTTAGACTTCCAGGAATTGTGAAGAACTGCAGCCTTCATATACAAGCAGCAAAGCAT